GTTTATTATTCGAGGATTGCTTGGATTTGTTTCTTGTTTGCATCTTGGGTCCGATTACAGAAGAGGAAATATCCTTTGGGTTCTATAGTCTAATCAACTGACTCGTCCAAAGAAAACCACAAAGAAATCTAATGTATGTTTCCTATCTATTGAGTTGTACAAGTTGCGTAGATTGTTTGAGTTCAGATTTGTATGTTTCAAGTTTAGATCAAATTTGTTTCTGTTCCGCTGCCATTTGTTTTATCTACTGAGACTCGAAACCCAACAACAGTGGTGTTAGAGCGTGACGAACTCAAGTCTATTGCAATTAGACTTTGTCATTTGAGTATGTTAGGGTTTGTATGTGTAGGGTTTTCGTTTTAAATTGTTATAAAAAGTCTAGAAATTTTACTTGTTTGAAATTGTGTAACGTCCCAAAAATAATGACGTAAAATTTTCGTTTTTAAATTAATAAATCGTTAATACATATCATTCATATAGACCAAGTTAATCAAGATTTATCAAAACATCATTAAATCAGAGTAATTCACGAAATGCGAAAACATGTGGCGTGTACCTTGCAATCACCTCGTGCTCTTCCATTTGAAAACCGAAGTACCTAAAACATAAACTAAAAACCGTAAACACAAAGCTTAGTGAGTTTCCCCAACATACCACATACCAAACATATAATTACATATAGTGGCCCCCGCCCGGCTTCGGACCTCGTCCGGCATCCCCACTCGGTATATAGATCTGTAAGTCATCAGGCCCTGCCCGGTATACATATAAATAAATAATCATGTAAACATGTAAACACACAAACGTATAACACACAACACATGCTAAAAATCACAAAGATAAATAGCATACATACCGGTCATCGAGTGTCGCCCGACATCGAGTCGTACCCGGTAATCATAAAAACACATACCGATAACTAGCATACAAGATACTCATCAGGCCACGCCTGGCATCGAGCCCTACTCGGTAAACATAAAATACATAACACATGCAAGAGTCACGTAGACAACAAGCATACTAAGCATAACATACTATGGGCCGACATTGGTGCCTTCGACTCGCTAAATACAGTGAGGAGACTCACCTCACACTGCTAAAGTCCGGCGAACAAATCCTCGACTGCTGGCTGATAGATCCCCGAACTGTCAACATTAAAACAAAACCCAATTAACAATTTGGGTTTCGATGCATAACCATAAATCCACACTTGGGGTAAAAAGACCATTTTACCCCTAACCTAGATTAGTCCAAGACCAAGGCCCAAATTCACACTCTGAAGGCCCAAAAGTCAAATAATCAACCATGGCCCAACTATGGCCTAATTTTCCAAATTGGGCCCAAACCCCTTACATGGACGTTAACCTAAAGCCCATCCATATATCCTTGTCCATACACTTGTTCTTTAAATGGTCCATTAAGAACCTAAACACCTAAGCCCAAAAGAAAAGGCCCAACTCGAGTCCAACATAATTAGGGTTTTCACATAAAATGACAATTAGGGTTAAGTAAAAACACTTATCCCATTAAGGACTTAATCTACTAAGTCCATCACTCCACTAGGTCAATCCTACAATATAGCCAGGCATAATTCATAATTTCAATCCAACGGTTCAAACGCGGGTCCCGACAAATCCAAAACTAACATCTCCAAAATTAGGGTTTTCTAAACCCTAATTAGAGTTTCCAACCCAAACACATGCCAATTAGTCCAATGGTTAAGTTTTAGGCTGATTAGGGTTTCACTAGGCCGGACACCACCCACTGCCAGCTCGGGCGGTGGTGGTTGACGGCGGCAGCCACCACCTCGCGGCGGTGGTGGTGGTTTGCGAGTCAAAAATCCGGCAACAAACACCCAATACATTATTATGTAGAAAACACATACACACATTAATTTAGCACACAACCACCCAACACGGCGGCTGGTGGCGGCAGCCACCACCTTACGGTGGTGGTGGTGGGTTTCTTCGGTTTTCCGGCCAAGCAACACCCGCACGATGACATATACTGCAACACGCACACGTACACACACCCACATTCAAAACATACACGACATAACCTCCCTTGTGGCGGCAGGCGGTGGTCCGAGATGACAGCCACCATCTTTTGGTGGTGGATTTCTTGCGATGTTCTGGCAAACAAATACACACACGACATGCACACACACGCCCTTGTTCGAAATATGAACACAACCACCAAACTGGTGGCGTACAACGGCCAGTAACATGCAACCGACTGTGCAACGGAGTGAAAACGGAAGGCGAAGGGGGTGGTCGCAGCGGGGAACGAAGGTCGCGCCTTCACCGGAGAATGACAGTGGCGGCCCACTGCTGGCGTCAACGTGCTGCACTTCATCGCTGTTGGCAGCTTCACCGACGGCTTGGCTTTGGTGGTTTCTGGCTTCAACAGGCAAGGAGGCGACGACCGGAGGTTAGGGTATATAGGTGGTGCCGACTGATGCACAGGGTTGGGGTTAGGGTTACTTGTTGCCTTATATGTGGGGGCTAAGATGAGGGTGACGGGTTACGCCCGCCGATATTCAATTTTAACTCATAATTACTCTTACAGCCCCTCCCCCTCAATTCTTTTCAACTTAGATCCATAATTTACCAAACAACGCTCAACCTTCAGAATTCTTTGCAAAACCAATCCGGAAATTACATTTTAACCCCCAAAATCTCAATTATGACATTTAACTCCCCGAAGACCAACACCCTGCTAAGATATTACGGATTTAGGGTGACAATAAAATATAATATACATCTCGAGGTTTAGGGTTAATTATTTATTTACTTATTTTATTTATTTAATTTCAAATGGAATGTTACAAATTGAATATGTTTTCTACGAAAAACGACCTTTTTGGTCGATCTGCCTCTCCGCCACGATGTGGCTGGTCCTCTACCACATTGTGGTATCTACATGGATCGCGACTGTCGTCGTCGCCACGCCAAGGTCGCTTCTTTACCCCACCATGGTCCTCTACCGAAAACCTAAGTATTAATTTAATTAAATCCCATGTTTTCTAGTTACCACGACATGGCTGCTTCTTCCCCATGTCATGGGACTTGAAGTTACAGAGAGCACCCGCAAGTTGACGATATTGTGTACCCCCATCGGGTAGTAAAGTGTCATCCGTGGAACTTAATTTGGACTTGGTATCGACCGGTGTGGAAGATGGGTGGCACAAGCTCATCCTAGCCTTTTCTAAAATTTCGGTAGCGTACTGTTGTTGTTATAGGAAAATGAATCTTTGTAGCGCGTCACCGAAATCCCAAGAAAATAGCTAAGGGGGCCAAGATCTTCATTGCAAATTCTTGAGCCAACAACTTCATAACTCCGAGGCGTAGATGATCCGACGAGGTAACAAGCAAAATGCCGTCCATATAAAGTAGTATAAAAGCGGTTTGAGTACCTTGTTTGTACAAAAAAAGAGAGTGGTCGCATTTGCTATGTTTAAAACCCAATGCAGACACATAGCTAGCAAATCGTTGATACCAAGCCCATGGCGCTTCTTTGAGGCTATATAACGATTTTTTTAGCAAGCAAACAACGTTAGGATAGCAAATATCACGAAAACCGGGTGGTTGATGCATGTATACTGTTTCATCAAGACGTTCGTGTAAAAATGCATTCTTTACGTCGAGTTGATGAATTTTCCATGCATGCGATAAAGCTATGGAAAGAACCGTACATATTGTTGCCAGTTTCACCATGGGACTGGAAGTTTCACCACAATCGATGCCTTTTTTTGGGACCTGCCATCACATACGTACCAAACGAGCTTTATATCGCTCTAAAGAACCGTCAGATTAAGTTTTATGACGATAAATCTGCATACCACACACAACATTCATGTTATTGTTTTGCTGGACTAACTCCCACATGTTATTGTCAATAAGGGCCCAGAACTTGTCTGACATGGCCTTATTCCAATCCGGGTTTTGAAGAGCATTTTGAAGGGTACAGGGTAAAGGAGAGATAGATATTGTGATGTGAAGGTTGAAATGTTGTTTGGTCTTAGAAATGCATGACATGCTTCGCGTGTGAATCGTATGAACATGAGGTGGATGAGCTGGCTGGGAGGCAGTGGAGGTAGGGACTATGATTGGTTCTGACCGGACCTGGGTTGATCATGATGGTTGGAATAGGGTGGGGGTTGCGGTCCTAGGCCTGCATGAGTAAGTTTGTAGAGGAGGGGGATGTGAGTTGGTGACAGTACATAGTTGTTTGTGGAGGGGTTAGGATCAAACCATATGAGAGGATGGGGATCCGAAGAGTTGTTGTTTGCTACGGTCGTGGAAGGTGTAGCTGGGGAGATTTTTTAGAAGGGGAAAATAGTTTCATCGAATACAATGGGACGGGAAAGTGTGATGGTTCGGGTTTGTGGATTGGAGCATTTGTACCCCCGATGGTTTGTTGGATGCCCCAAAAAAGTACAAGGTGTAGATCGTTTATTTAACTTATGGATGGTGGTAGAGGGAGTTAGGGGATAACATAAGCATCCAAAGGTCCTAAGATGGGAAGATGTCGGTTAGAGGTTGTAGAGAAGATAAGTGGAAGTGAAGTTATTTAGAAGTTTACTAGGAAGAATATTTAGAATGTAGATGGTGTGTTGTAAAGCATGATGCCAAAAATTCAATGGCATGAAGGAATGAGCTAGTAAGGTTCGAATAATGTTATTGATGGGACGTATTTTTCGTTCGGCTTTGCCGTTTTGGGGAGAGGTATGTGGACATAAACAATGGAATTGAATACCTTTTTTGGAGCAAAAATCATGAAAATGTTGATTATCGTATTCGCGGGCATTATCGCAATGTACACTTTTAATGGTGTAATGAAATTGAGTTTTGATTAAAGAAAAGAACTGTATGAAGGTTGGAAAGACCTTAGATTTTTTGGCAAGAGGATATGTCCACAAAAAATTAGTTTTATCATCTAAGAATAATAAATAATAACGATAACTATTAGAGCTCACACAGGTGCTGCCAAAAATTTATGTATAGATTATATCGAAAGGCAAATGTGTACTAGAATTAGAAATAGAGAAAGGAAACTTTGATTGTTTTCCAAACACACATGAAGAGAAAATTGTAGATAAATGTTTAGAACTGGAATCAAAATGCAAACACGATTTAAAGAAAATAAAGTATTCATGCCAGGATGACCAAGCCGATGGTGCCACAGGTCTCTAGTAATTGCAGCAAAGGTTGAAGGAGGCGTAACTTGGGAAGATGATCTGAATGTGAATGGGTAAAGATCGCCGATACTATTGCAACAGATGACGGGAGTTGTGCGTCCGGAAGTCCTTCACATCAAAACCTAACGGGTCAAATTCAACTGAAATATTATTGTCAACAGTAAACCAACAAATAGATAAACGGTTTTTTGATTACATTAAGTGTGTGAAGAACATTTTTAAGAAGTAAAGAAGGGAATGGATATGGGAGGGTTTGATGGCCTGTACCTTGGATTCGAATAGTTGAGCAATTACCTACAATCAGGTTATGATAAAGACCATTATCGATATAATACGTAAAGTTACCTGAGTATGAGTCATAGGAGATGTTGCCCAAGTGTCAGCATACCTAGTTTGATCAGGTGGGTGGAGGGTCATCGTATGGAATGCTTGCTCAAGATGGTAGGTGTGTAGCTTGCCTCCGAGGGGGTGTAGGCCTGTTGAGGTTGTTGAGAATTGAGATTGAGGTCGACTGCCAAGGATACCGGGGACATTAGGAGGAGGCTTAGAGGATGCATAAAGTTGAGTCGGGTACGGGTAAGCTCGCGATCAAAGCCCATGGAGGCGGCGTGGACCAAGGTTGATAGGGATGAGAACCTGACCCGTATGACGACTGATGATGGCTGCTGTTTGATCCACGTTCTCGTCTGTTCAAGGATCGTCCACGACCATGGACACGTCGCCCTCTAGAGTTGGAGTATTCTGATTGTTGTTGGTTGTAGCGACTGTTGTCACTGGTTTTTGGCTGTGTTCGGTGTTGATACTGTTAGGGCGTTAGCTGAGGCACCCGAAGAGGGAGAGGTAGCTGCTTGATGTGCTTTCCGGGCTTCTTCCATGATTAATTTTGAACGAACATCATAGAAATCAAGTAGGGGCGTGGTTTGTTGGATGAGCATGGCCACACCTTCATAGCTTTCATTGAGACCAGCAATCTGTTGTAAAACAAGGTGCTGGTTTGAAACCGGATTACCCACATTGGCAAGTTGGTCCGCCAACATTTTAAGAATAGTATGAAGAAGGTCCTGGTGCGATAATATATCCATTGAAGACAAATAGCATCAAGACGAGACCAGGATTCCTATTCAGAGGCAGCCTTGGTCTTATCGGGTTCAGTTGCTGTGGAAGCACGTGAGGAAGGAGGTTTTGTGTTAGGGCACTACTAGAAAAATGCTAATCTAGTACGGTTGAAAGTATAAATACAATACATATATTGAACCGTATTAATAGAGGGGTGTATTAGATTCCATTTCCTAATAGAGTACGGCTATTTAACCGTACTCTATATGAATCCTATCAAGCATACAACTATCGCATACACCCATCTAATACACCATACATCTGTACTAGATTACTCATACAACCGTACTTGATTATCTCCATTCCTATTCCCTTTCCAGCCATTCCATATTGCATTCCATTCCAGCCCATTTATGATTACATTCCACCTCTATTATATGACTAGCCACCTCCACGAGGACCCCTGAAAATTGCAAACTTCCATTATAAAAAAACACAATATATAGCATGGATCCTTGGCTATATTTTCATTAAACCTGACAAAAAATTATATGTGGTTCATTAGAATATAAAAGTATATCATCATATAAATCACATTTACTTACTGTGCAAAGCATTTGGCGATTTCAATATTAAGTTGACTCACTTGATCTTTCTTTTTTGTGAAGTCAAGTCATATAACAATATGTAGTTAGTGAATACACTTGCTAAGAACAGTAGTACTTATAGATCATAGTGAAGAAAATAACCTGCAGATAGATGAATTCCACCCTTTTCAAAATCAATGCGAAGATCTCGTGCAACTTTTAGCTTCATTGCTTGTTAGAGTCTGATCTTGATCAGCTTTCAGTACCGCATTGTACAGAGTAAGATTTGTATTTAGATACTGCATGCCAATGATCAGGAACACCATAATCATCATTGCAAGTGGTCAATAATTTGAAAGATATGACATCAAACAGAATTGAAAGAAAGTTATGATCTTGTAAATAGAGCAAAACCAATTATGTAACTTGTCACCTCACATGTAGATATCCGTTAACCCTTATTGAGGCCTTCAATGCCTCATCAACTAAATCCCTGCATTATAACTCAAATATCATCAAGAACAAAGAGAAAAAACAATGAATCCAACATGTAATCAGGTTAATGAAAAGGAAAAAACCTGTCAGGATGTGAAAGTTCTGCAGAATCCACCACTTGGAATATGTAATTTCTCCTTTCGCCTAAAAGAAACGCATTGACTAAACATAAATCTAAAAGTTCATAAATCGGTGAAAAAATGAACAAAAAAAACCTTCAAAGTCTGCAACTTATTAGAAATGGTATAAACTTGAACTCCAGTGTTTGATGCTACACTTGGTATGTCAAACACATATTGTCCATCGTTTATTTCACAGAAACTCACACTAAAAACCATCAACGATGAAACATATAAGGAAACAATATATTTTAACCACATAAAAGTAACTGTATTTTTTTACCTTAATAAAGTCTGTGAAGCTAGGGAGGAAGATCCGTGAACTGCTAGTGGAGTAGATAATACAAATTAGAAGCTAAGACTAATAATTAATAAAGCATAAAAAAACAATTACTACTGTTACAGATAAAAAAAATTAGAATCAATGTACTTGGATATACTAAGAAATATAAGTTCTACTCTTTTACTAATTAAATAATTTAAATCAAAAGCTAAGAATAGATAATACAAATTAGAAGTTAAGAATGATAAAGCATAAAAAATACAAGTACTACTGCTACAACATACAAAAAACTGAGAATCAATGTACTCTGATATACTAAGTTCTACTGATTAAAAGAACGAGGATGACAGAGCATCAAAAAACTGGAATTGCTGTACTGTGAGATACATGTCTCAAGAATCTATTGCTACATATAAACGACAACTTTCACAAAGAAAAGACAGTGATTTCTAAACTAGAACATGTTTGTATAGATAGAGTGTTAAACTAGTGGTATTAGAAAACTAAGAGTCGATTTCTAAGAAATCAGAAGCAGACAAAATACACAAAATAAAATAATCAGATAGCATACTAGTTGAGAATCAATTAAAAGCATAAAATTGAGAATCGATAAGAGCAAACATGACTATAAAGTATAAATTGATAATAAAAACTGAGAATCGATTAAGAGCATATGAACAAAATACCTTCAAGAAGCTAGTGGTTCAGCAATGGCGATACACCGGTGCAAAAGATAAGAGGAATCAAAAGTGATTGACAGTTTAGTGATCACGTAACAACCGCACCTGTGTCGATCAACATTGAGTGAGAGTAGCCTCGGTCCTTATGTTGTACATATGATCCTTTTGCCCTTATATATTCGATCGTATTACAATAATCTATCATATATCAGATCAGATCTGATATCCGAAAAATGAAAGCCTCGATATTAGGAAAGAGGCGGTGCTCCGGTGAACGTCGGGAGGGGGTGAGATGGTGGTGTGGGGGTCGTCGGGAGGAGGAGAGGAGTGGTTGCTTTGCAGAGATATATGAAGTTGAGACGAAAAGACCAGGGCTTTTTCCTTTTGCGCCCGTTTGATTACACCAAAAAAAAACGGACAACGAAATTAAAATATTTAAAAAAAACCTAATAAAATATGTTTATTGGTATATATGAATTGTGTACCTACATCTTTTTTAATACGGATTTTACTACAACCGTATTAGATTACAGTGTATTGTATTACCAATTTTCCAGTAGTGGGGTCAATGTGGTTTCCGACCTGAAAGGCCCGACAGTGAATACAGAACAATTCTGCCCAGGAGGTGTATTGGCCACTCTCCATCTTGAGGGTAAATGGTATGAAATTTCTGATGTTGGTGACTGTGATGACGGGATGGGTTTTAGGATCCATCGGAATATAGAAGGTGAGGTATCGAATATAAGGTTGAAAAAAGCGGCGCTTAATCGGAAATCAGAGATTTGGTAGCTGTGATGCCATGTTAATGGTATGCAATCTCTCTTGTATTTTATTATGATAATCACCAAATATATACACAAGACCTGACCCTCACTATTTATGGATATACATTGAATATATAATATTTTATATTTTATATGACAAACAAACATTCCTTTATCTATGGGATTAATATCTCGTCTAGCTAATAGTCCTGGCTGTTGTTGACTACGGGGTTGGTAATGTCAATGACCTGATATGCCTGATCATTAAAAAAAGGAATCATGACCAAGTTGAGTCCATGTGCTCTACTTCACTTTACAAAAATGGGCAACGTATGTAATATCACTTCTGCTACGCCTGGGTAAGGATATGCATGAATTTAGTTTTGGTATGTATGTATGCGTTAGTTTGTGCGGCTGTACAGGTTGACATTTCACAAACGGTCAATCTGACCTAACCTCAGAATTTCTACATCTCCAACATAGCCAACTTCACTTTGGGTAAGCATCATCAATGATTGCCTATTCCTTGTTATTAAATAAATAGAACTTGTAATAGAAAATATTCATTTTATATGAAAAGAAAGAGAAAAAACGCTATAAACAAGCAAAATCAATAAATGATTTATTTGCATAGGCCAATTTTGTAATTTAGTCATTGACTATGTTTCTGTTTATCAGACCTCTCGCTCCCTCCTTTTCCATATTTGGGAACCACAGGCAACTATGATTAGGTTTCAAATCGGGAGGAAACCACTAGAGGGTTGTTGATCGCAAGCGGGTTGGGGCATTGTTGGAAGAGTATGTTCGGAAATCTCGTCAAACGATTGCGTTTTGGGAACTCCCAATCTCCGGTAAATTTATGACTTAGCTTTGATTTCTCTGATCCCATTTTGGCGTACTCGAGTATTTATTGGATGAGAGTTCTTAGGCTGCTATGAATTATGTATCTTTTAGTGGAGTCGTTGTTGGGTCTAGTTTGGGTTCGATGAGTTTGGTGTATGGATCGATGATACCTGTAGGCCTTTCCCCTTTCATCTAACGCACTTATGGATCGGCCCAGGAGGGAAAAGAAGATTCCAGCCCGTTACAAGGAATGAAGTATAGGTCTTTGTATTTGCATAATACCAGGAGAAAGACCTGGTCATAGTTAAGGTCTTAGTTGTCAGTAATTAGGAAGCACGTTTCCTTTGGTATCTATTGTTGGTGATTTTATCACCAAATATACTTTAGTGTAATGGACTTAACAAGTGTTTCAAGAATAATGTTATAGTTATAATACAAGTAAAAGGTCTAATTTGTCATTCTTGAAAGATGAAAAACTGTTTTGATCCGTTGTTGTATAAAACTGGCACAACGGCGCCTGTTTGAAACACATAGAAAACGAAGAACGCTCTCTCTTCATCTTCTCAAAATTGATTCTGATTTTATGCCTAAAATCTAAATTGCTACATCAGGAATTATCCCAGTTTGGATTTCGTGATACCCAAGGCATATAGGGTCGAAATATCAAACAATGAAAGTTTTTACACTGTTCCTGTTTGTTATCCAGATTTCCCAGAACCCTAATTCGAATTCCCCAACAATCTTGTTTGATATTTTCGTTTTCTGGAAAAGATGGCTGGCAATTCACTGAAAGACATGAATACTTCGTTTGGCAAATTAGAGAAATTTCAGGGCCAAGATTTCAGACGTTGGCAAAAGAAGATGCACTTCTGGTTGACCACTTTAAAGGTTGTCTATGTTCTTTCTACTCCAAAACCAGAAGAGGTTGAAGATGCAAGTCTGGAACAGATCAGAAGGAGAAGCAAATGGGAGAATGACAACTACATCTGCCTTGGTCACATTCTGAATGGTATGTGTGATTCCCTCTTTGACACTCATCAAAATATTGAAACTGCAAGTGAATTATGGAACACACTTGAAGCAAAATATATTGCTGAAGATGCTTCAAGTAAAAAGTTCATTGTTTCTGATTTCAACAATTATAAGATGGTTGATTCTCGATCTGTAATGGAACAATATAATGAAATCCTACGAATTTATGGTCAATTCACACAACACAACATGTCCATGGACAAATCCTTTGCTGTTTCAAGTGTGATTGATAAACTTCCACCCTCATGGAAAGATTTCAAACACCATCTGAAACATAAAAAGGAAGAGATAAGTTTGATTCAACTTGGGAGTCATTTGAAAATCGAAGAAGGACTTCGTGATCAAGAGAATGACATAGGAACTGGAAAGGGCAAATCTGAATTTGGACAGTCCCAAGTTCATATGGTTGAATGTGATAAAAAAGACAATTCTAACCACAAGGGCAAGGGTAAAAAATGTAAGTATGAGGGTAACAACAAAAGGTCCAACAAAAAATACAAGGATTCCAAGGAACTTGTGTGTTGGAGATGCAATCTGAAAAGGCATATGAAACGTGACTGTTGGGTGAAACTTGGAAATAAAGGTGCTAGTGGTAGTGGAAAAGAGGGTGCTGGTGGTAGCAGTGGGTCTCATGACCAATCTGCAACCAAAGGTCAATTTACTATTGATCTTGTAAGTTCAGTACCTAATGTTATTCTACTAACTCCAGAAGTTTCTTTTGTATAGGAGGCTGATACGGATTCATGGTGGCTTGATACATGTGTAATGATGAACGATGGTTCACGAAGTTGAACATAGTAAATAAAGGTTCTGTCTTACGCATGGCGGATGAAGGATCAAAGCCAATTTTAGGAACTGGTGTTGTTAGTATTACGTTTACTTCTGGAAAAACAATTAGTTTGTTTGATGTATTATATGTTCCAAAGGTTCGAAAGAACCTTGTGTCTAGTGGTTTGTTGAATTATATGGGTTATAATCAAGTTATCGAGTCGAACAAGTATGTGTTGTCTAAATGTGGAATATTTGTGGGATTTGGTTATTATTGTGAATGTGTTTTTAAGTTAAATGTTATAAGTTGTTTTGCATCACATGTCAAATCTACTTTTATGACTTCTGCGCCTAATCTTGATAATTCTATGTTATGGCATAATAGATTAGGACATGTTCATGTTAAGAGAATGGTTGAAATGTCAAAATCCGGATTGATTCCAACTTTTGACATTAATTCTGAAAAATGCAAAACTTGTATGTTAACTAAAATCATGAAACAACCGTTTCCAAACGTTAATAGAAAATCAGAACTGTTGGAATTGATTCATAGTGATCTATGTGATTTCCATGCCACACCTTCCTTGGGAAATAAAGAGTACATTGCTACTTTTATTGATGATTCAAGTCGGTTTTGTTATGTGTAGTTATTACATTCCAAAAATAAAGTTTTGGAAAAGTTTAAAATATACAAAACCGAAGTCGAATTACAATTGGGTATTTCGATAAAATGTCTTAGGACGGATAGGGGAGGAGAGTACATGGATTTTGAATACTTTCAATCGGTTGGAATCATTCATGAAATCACAGCTCCTTACAATCCACAACAAAATGGTGTTGCTGAACGAAAAAATCGAGTTTTAAAGGAAATGGTAATTTCGATGCTTTCTTTTTCGGGTTTAAGTGAAGGATTTTGGGGTGAAGCTATGCTCACAACTAATTATGTGCTAAACCGGGTTCCTAATAAACGGAACAAAGTTACTCCTTATGAGCTTTGGCACAAGAAAGCACCAAATTTGAATTATTTTCGAATTTGGGGATGTCGAGCAGTTGTGAAATTACCCGAACCTAAAAAGAAAAATTTGGGTGAAAGAGGAATTAATTGTATATTTATTGGATATGCAGAACATTCCAAAGCTTATAGGTTTTATGTTATAGAACCTAATGAGGCATATTCCGTTCACACCATTATAGAGTCGCGAGATGCGATTTTTGATGAGATGCGGTATTCTTCAATTCAAAGACCAAAGGATCTGATTCCAAGCACAAGTGAGGTGCCTAAATCAGATGGAAAGGAAGTTATTTCAATTCCAGAAACACAACAACTTCGTAAAAGCAAACGAGGTCGAGTCGCGAAAAATTTTGGCGAGGACTTTCAACTATTTTTGGTTGAAGGTTCGAGGGATAAAGTGAAGAAACAATACTCATATTCCTCTCATCTTGAGACTGATCCAAAGACTTTTAAGGAAGCTATGGAGTCTCGAGATGTTGTGTTTTGGAAAGAAGCGGTTGATGACGAAATGTCATCCATTATGGAGAACAATGTTTGGGTGTTATCTGATTTACCTCCTGGTTCTAAACCTTTGGGATGTAAATGGATTTTCAAGAAGAAAATGAAGGTAGATGGAACCATTGATAAATTCAAGGCTCGTCTGGTCATACAAGGTTTTAGACAAAAGGCCGGTATCGATTATTTTGATGCATATGCACCGGTAGCACGAATTTCTAATATTAGATTGTTGCTTGCTTTGGCAGCTATTCACAATCTAGTGATTCATCAAATGGATGTTAAAACAACTTTTTTGAATGGTGATCTTGACGAGGAAGTTTATATGAAACAGCCAGAAGGTTTTGTTTTGCCTCGAAATGAGCAAAAAGTGTGTAGACTTGTGAAATTATTGTATGGACTTAAACAAGCTCCAAAACAATGGCATTTGAAGTTTGATGAAGTTATTTTGTCTAATGGTTTTTCTTTAAACCAATCTGACGAATGTGTTTACAGCCATTTTGATTCATTTGGATCTGGTGTGATCATTTGCTTGTATGTAGATGATATGTTGATTTTTGGCACTGATCAAAATCAAATTAATGTAACTAAGAATTTATTGTCTTCAAAGTTTTCCATGAAGGATATGGGGGAGGCGGATGTAATCCTTGGAATAAGGATTAAACGGGTGAACAAGGGACTTGCTATTATACAGTCATATTACATTGAGAAAATTCTCAAACGGTTCAATTACAGTGATTGTACACCCGTTAGTACCCCCTATGGATTCAAGCATGAAGTTGATGCCTAATAGAGGCAGATCAGTTTCTCAATTGGAGTACTCGCAAGCTATTGGATCTTTGATGTATGCTATGACTAGCACTCATCTTGATATAGCTTTCGCAGTGGGAAGATTGAGTAGATTTACTCATAATCCTAGTACTCAACATTGGCAAGCGGTTCATCGTGTTTTCAAGTATTTGAAAGGAACCAAGGATTATTGTTTGTGTTATTCAGGATTTCCTTCGGTCTTGGAAGGATATTCTAATGCGAGTTGGATATCCAATAGAGAAGATCATTCTTCTACAACTGGTTGGGTATTCTTACTTGGTGGAGGTGCTATCTCATGGGCATCTAAGAAGCAATCTTGTATAACAAGTTCAACAATGGAATTTGAGTTTATTGCATTGGCCGCTGCAAGTAAGGAAGCAAAATGGTTAAAGAATTTGATTTATGAGATTCCATTGTGGAGGAAACCGATTGCGCCATTATCTATCCGCTGTGATAGTGTTCCTACTTTGAGTAAAGCTTATAGTCAAGTTTATAATGGTAAATCGAGACATATTGATGTTAGACATGGGATTATTAGAAATCTAATAATGGATGGTGTGATTTCGATTGAGTTTGTAAAATCACAACAAAATTTGGCGGACCATCTCACTAAGAGTTTGGCGCGAGACTTAGTGCACAAGTCTGTTATAGGGATGGGCTTAAAGTCCTTGTGAATTCTTATGAATGAGACACCCAATTCCCCTCTAATACAATGTTAGAGGTTGAATTCAATGTGGAAAGATTATTTATATGAATTGGAACACGCATTATAACCATCCCAAGGTACGTGTTTGAACCTGTAGAGACCAGGATGAATTTGATTTCTTAATGATTCTTTTGATAAAATGTATACAGGTACATGAATAAAAGAATCACCTATATGATCGTGAAGTGTAGCCGTACTTCAAAGAGCTTGGGATTTGGCTTTTATACAATCAAGAATGGATTGGGACACACGGATTTATAATTAGTGTCAAGTTATTTTGTTTTAGATGATTGTAAAACTAATGTGTATATTATCTTCAGATATTCAAACGAGTTGATGGGTTCAATCTTTAAGATACCTTGATTTCTCGAATGTTTGAAATGTGTAATATACTAACATGAAAATTCAATTGTATTGATATTTTCATTTATGCATTAGTTTCGTTTCTTTTGTTTAAGTTTGTTAATTCAAGGTTACACTAAAATAGGGGAGGATTGTTGATGATTTTATCACCAAATATATTTTAGTGTAATGGACTTAACAAGTGTTTCAAGAATAATGTTATAGTTATAATACAAGTTAGGATGTGCGAGAGTGCACACTTGTATTTACTAAACATTTTTTTAAGACAGTACAAGGTCTAATTTGTCATTCTTGAAAGATGAAAAATTGTTTTGATTTATCCGTTGTTGTATAAAACTGGCACAACGGCGCCTGTTTGAAACACATAGAAAACGAAGAACGCTCTCTCTTCATCTTCTCAAAATTGATTCTGATTTTATGCCTAAAATCTAAATTGCTACATCAGGAATTATCCCAGTTTGGATTTCGTGATACCCAAGACATATAGGGTCGAAATATCAAACAAGGAAAGTGTTTACACAATTCCTGTTTGTTATCCAGATTTCCCAGAACCCTAATTCGAATTCCCCAACATCTATAAATTGTAGTTGCATTGGTTTAATGAATATACAGAAAATTGCTTCAAGTCCTTGTCTTCTCTCTTAATTTCTTGGGAGATTAGCCTCAAACTCTCATGAATTGCTTCTGCTCTGTATCCTTCAATTCCTCAAAGTCTCTGTTGTGGATGTTTTATTTTGGTAAATCATGATGTAGACTTGCAGCTAATTCAAAATTTTGAACTATCACCAATTATTCAAATCACATTCCCTCACTCAACCATCAATGATTTAGGGTTCGTTTCAGGAGTTTGTCACAAGTAGTTGTCCATTCTAGAAAATAGCTAGAAGCACAAACTCAACAACCTTTTCAAATGCTAATGATGAAGATTTCTTGAAGGTGCCTGGCCTCTAAAATTATTGAATATGAGAAGGGTGTTGCCCCTTTTAAAACACACTACCAATCACCTTTTTCGCTCATATTCGAGTCTTAAAAAGAGTATTAAAAGTAATCAAAATACAAATTACATAATCTTTTGCAAAAAGAAAAGAAATTATGAAAAATCTTATCAAACTAACTTGGTTACTCGAAAAACAGAAACAATTTTTAAGGAATGTGATCCATTAAGTAAGCACGCCACTTGTCAATTGATGCCAACTCGACTGGATTCAAACCTGGAAGTTCACGTTCTTGAAGGGTATTGATTATCTGTGTAGTCTCACCAAGAAGCTGAGCTGCAGCTTGGACATTCGCCTCCCTTTTTTCTATGGCACTTGTGTGGCATTTCATTAATATGACTTGGGGTAAGTTGGTGAGACATGCAGCCAATATATCAGAAATCATTAATGATAGGTGCACAAATAGTTCCTCTTGGCTAAGCTCATCAATGTTGGGGGTGGTAGGAAAGCATGATTGTTTCGGTGATACGATACATTGAGTTGGCAGAAATAACCCTGAATTTGGACATATCATTTGGGACTCTATTACTCATACCTTCCATCTTAATAAGCATGTTATTAGCTATATCCCTCAGCCATTGGAGAATCTGTCCTGCTGTATGTAGTTGAGGATCAGGGTTTTGCAGCTTGTGTCCTAACGATTTGTGGTAGACTTCAACTTCTACCCACAAAGCTTTTGCCGCCTTTTGAATGGTTACTTGATCATCAGTAGCATTGAGGGTTTCTTCCACAAGTGTGACATATACAAGACCTTCACTCACACCACGAATCAGCAAGCAGTCGAGTAGGTTCTTTTTGATGTTTGGAAGAGACATGGCGATGGTTGTCAAAGTTACCAATGGCAAACTCCAACAATTGAGATATTCTTCTGAAAGTAAAGGCGGAATATGATGGCTGTCAAAATTTTCAACTCCTTCAAAACCACTAGATTCAGCTAGAAGCTTAATAAGATTGTTGATTTGTTGTTTTTCAGCCTTTAGGATCAAGTGGTTCACAGATTTTGAAATACCTTTTAACGTTCTATCAGCAAACTCAATGTCGTCTTCAAGTTGCAAAACATACCGCCTTAGATCTTTATCTTTTCCTAGTTGCTCCTCAGGGTTTTGTACCAAGTCAACACGTGAGGCACGAAACATGGCCTTTAACCACTTCCAAGAACGGAGAAAATACATGACACATATCACAAAGAAAATTGGAATCACTGCTAGCATCTTGCACGCTACCACGACTATCTTCTGAAATCCTATAAAAATGCTGAGAGTTAGGCTTTTCAAATGTTGGATGACAATCTTGCAGTTGCGGCTACTGGATGGGAATGGCACACTATTATGTTTCCAATCATATAACTTCTGAGTCCAGTAGCTCTCTACTTTACAGACGTTGACTTGCTTCCAAATCCATTTTACTGACAGCTTAAGTCTTAAGGCTGAAAAACATCTTGCAACTGGGGCAATCGTACCTAGTATCACTCCGATAAACTGGATTATAAAAATCACCGACATTGACCACTTATAATCCGACATATACGATTGGACAGACTGTGATAAATTCAACAAATTGTATCGTCGATATCTAAAATCTAGAATGGAAAGAAAAATAAGGAGGGCTGTGCTTGTAGCGCATATTACCCCTGAAGCAGAGGTTGTAGCAGAGCAAGCTGACATGAATTGGGGGCTTCCAGTGCTTGCCATGATCCAGTAGTTTCTCACACTCTGCTTTAGCTTCTCAACATTTAATAATCTTCCTGGTTGTTGCAGCTCGTGATCCTTTAAAGCTGTTTCATGAGCCACTTGGTATTTTGATTCTAGAATCTGTTTGGACTTGAGAATTGCTAAAGATGAACATACATATATTATCAGCAACATGAGTAAAGGAACCCCATAAATGGCTACATAAATTACTCTATCAAGGAAACGTATTTCACGATAAACAATATTCGGAGGATAATATATAGAATTGATGAGCATTCCCGTGAATATTTGAATCCAAACATTCACAACCAAGGTGATTACCAGGACACCTAAAGCTATGATGTTTGAAATAAGTTCCTTGCTATCCATGGTTGCTAGAGAAGGCAGAAGATTAGCCATCATGGTGCACATAAAACTCACACTCCCAAACTTTGCAACCACGTCCACATCACCTGGCATTAGATTACTTAGATCCATGGGCAGCTTCATTGCAACAGCTATCACAGTGAGAGAAGCAGCATTCAAAGTGAAATATTTGCATGGAAACCAGAGCTTTCTGTTCCTCAGACCATGTAGTAAATCAGCCACCATTGCAAGGGTGCAAATCAGAGATGCTAATGCAATATACATTCCAATCCACGGCATAGGTTTGCTGTACTGGCTTTGCTCAAGTGAGTTTAACAGTAACATCCGCCACCGATCTATGTATGTTGTTCCAGTATCGTTGCAAGATGCCATAGCTAGCTCAAGTTGGTCATTGATATTTTGTACGTTGGGATCCATAATTATGTTCCTTCAAGGGAAAGGAACTGTACCGGGTTTGCTCTATGGCACTTGTGTGGTATCCAAAGAGGGTGTAATTAAGGAGATGAAGAACGAAAGGTTAATTTTTCTAGAGAAAGACTTCAAAATGAAGCTATGTTTCTTCCAATGCTATGAATGACTTTAAATAACTACGAAACTTTCATGTTTTTGGTCCATCACTTGAACCCACCTATGAAACTTTCATCATAAATACAATGAAATAGTCAAAGAAGTTAAGGATGTGATGGAACACTTGAAAGAAAAGGGAAGAAACTACCAATAACTTTCTCTAAAGCATGCAGGCCACATATCTCTTCACTCTTCAATGGACTTTGAGGGTAGAGTGCTGGACAACTTCTTCTTACTTTGAACACAAAATTTGAAATACTACATACATGATATATCCAGTTTATTTGTACTTTCTAGACCCACTGGTTTGATCAACCGTGCCCTTGTAATTGTATCCTGACTCAACTTTTATATGAGTGGGTTCACGTTCTTTTTGGGTTATAAAATCATACAACCTGACATAGAATGAAATCAAGTTACTCATTTTAAATAATTCCTCTAGGCATATAACAATCGAGAAGGATTTATATTTGTCAAGTTGAAAACAGGGCCCTAAACAATGTATTTTGCACACCAGCATATGTCATCAAAACTTTTTCATCGACTCATCAAAAGCCTGGACTGCCTCATAATACATCTCCGTTATGTTGGGGTTGGAAAACTCTTCTATTAAACACGAAAATAGAATTACAATAGGAGGAGCAACTCTCACACTCAACTATTACCAAAAACCAACCCTCTCACTAATACTCTCACTCTAAGTGTTATACTATCTGTTTCTCTGTGTTTTTGGGATGCATACAACTGAAGAATGAAGTCTCTATTTATAGTCTTGGCAACCGCCATTGTAGTTGCGTCTATTAATTGTGTTCATCATAGGGTGGGAAGAAAAACTTGTCCCGTAGGTTTCATTTTGTCAACAATGATGGCTACTGTAGCTTTGGAGGCTGGAACACAACAAATCTCCCCCTCCAGTCTCCGTCCAACAATCCTCATCCCAACTATGTCAGCACATAGTCTGTGTTTCTCTTGTGTCACCACGTTTGTCAACATGTCTGCCTTATACTTCATAGTATTTCCCTTTCCGTCTTTCTTCAGTTTGAAAACCCACTTGTTTTTCAAGGCTTTCTTTCCTTTGGGGAGGTTTACCAACTCATATGTTTGATTCTTCTGCAAAGAATTCATTTCTTCTTCCATGGCCTTCTGCCAATTTGCTTTGTCAATATGAGATTGAGCTTCTTGAAAACTCTCTGGCTCCCCCTCACTAGTAAGAAGGATGTAGTTTGAAGTCGGATATCTTGTTGATGGAGCACGTACTTGTTCGGATCGTCTAACTTGAGTTCCTTCGTTTGCAACTTCTGGCAGTGGATCTGAATTATCCAGGGGTGGAAGCTCCCCCTGCTCAACACCTTCTTGATCTGCATCATCGACTTCTTCATCCACTTCTTCAGTGGAAACATCATCTTTATTTTTAGATATTATATCTGAAACTTTGGAGCTTTGTTGCTTGTTAACCGGTGCCTTGAAATCATAATACTGGTTTTCATAAAAAACCACATCTCTGCTTCGAATAACCTTATTTAGTTCTGGGTCCCATAGCCTGTACCCGAACTCTTCATCTCCATATCCAATAAAGATGCATGGAGTGGATTTGAGGTCCAACTTCTTCCGCAGTTCACTTGATACATGTGCAAACGCCTTGCACCCAAATACTCTCAAGTGAGAATATGATATGTCTTTACCCGTCCATATCTTCTCCGGAACTTCAAAATTCAATGGAGCGGAAGGTGACCTATTTATTAGATAGCAAGATGTCAATACAACTTCACCCCAGAATGGCTTTGGGAGTTTAGTCATGCTGAGCATGCATCGAACTTTCTCAACAATGGTGCGATTCATCCGTTCTGCTACACCATTTTGTTGTGGGGTTCGTGGGACAGTCTTTTCATGTCTGATACCATGTTCCATGCAGTATTTAGAGAACTCACGGGAATAGTATTCGCCTCCATTATCTGATCGGAGACATTTTAGCTTCTTGTCTGTTTGTCTTTCCACCATTGCATGAAAAGCTTTGAAGCGGTCCAATACTTGGTCCTTCGTTCTCAAACAGTATGCCCATACCTTTCGTGACGCATCGTCAATGAATGTCACAAAATACCGGCTTCCACCAAGAGATTCTACTTCAATGGGTCCACATACGTCGGAGTGGACAAGGCTCAGCAACTCAGAGCGGTTCTTTCTTGTGGAGCTAAAGGAAACTCTGTGTTGTTTCCCAAATAGGCAGTATTTACAAGGATCCAAGGCAACATCTTTTGCCATTGAAATGGACTCCTTCTTTGCAAGAGTCGTCAATCCCTTCTCGCTCATGTGGCCTAGTCTTCTATGCCACAAGTTTGGTGATGTCTCTTCTTTAACAACATTGAGACTTGGTTGAAGCAACTTCTTTAATCCACGCCTTGCACCCAAATACTCTCAAGTGAGAATATGATATGTCTTTACCCGTCCATATCTTCTCCGGAACTTCAAAATTCAATGGAGCGGAAGGTGACCTATTTATTAGATAGCAAGATGTCAATACAACTTCACCCCAGAATGGCTTTGGGAGTTTAGTCATGCTGAGCATGCATCGAACTTTCTCAACAATGGTGTGATTCATCCGTTCTGCTACACCATTTTGTTGTGGGGTTCGTGGGACAGTCTTTTCATGTCTGATACCATGTTCCATGCAGTATTTAGAGAACTCACGGGAATAGTATTCGCCTCCATTATCTGATCGGAGACATTTTAGCTTCTTGTCTGTTTGTCTTTCCACCATTGCATGAAAAGCTTTGAAGCGGTCCAATACTTGGTCCTTCGTTCTCAAACAGTATGCCCATACCTTTCGTGACGCATCGTCAATGAATGTCACAAAATACCGGCTTCCACCAAGAGATTCTACTTCAATGGGTCCACATACGTCGGAGTGGACAAGGCTCAGCAACTCAGAGCGGTTCTTTCTTGTGGAGCTAAAGGAAACTCTGTGTTGTTTCCCAAATAGGCAGTATTTACAAGGATCCAAGGCAACATCTTTTGCCATTGAAATGGACTCCTTCTTTGCAAGAGTCGTCAATCCCTTCTCGCTCATGTGGCCTAGTCTTCTATGCCACAAGTTTGGTGATGTCTCTTCTTTAACAACATTGAGACTTGGTTGAAGCAACTTCTTTAATCCACGCCTTGCACCCAAATACTCTCAAGTGAGAATATGATATGTCTTTACCCGTCCATATCTTCTCCGGAACTTCAAAATTCAATGGAGCGGAAGGTGACCTATTTATTAGATAGCAAGATGTCAATACAACTTCACCCCAGAATGGCTTTGGGAGTTTAGTCATGCTGAGCATGCATCGAACTTTCTCAACAATGGTGTGATTCATCCGTTCTGCTACACCATTTTGTTGTGGGGTTCGTGGGACAGTCTTTTCATGTCTGATACCATGTTCCATGCAGTATTTAGAGAACTCACGGGAATAGTATTCGCCTCCATTATCTGATCGGAGACATTTTAGCTTCTTGTCTGTTTGTCTTTCCACCATTGCATGAAAAGCTTTGAAGCGGTCCAATACTTGGTCCTTCGTTCTCAAACAGTATGCCCATACCTTTCGTGACGCATCGTCAATGAATGTCACAAAATACCGGCTTCCACCAAGAGATTCTACTTCAATGGGTCCACATACGTCGGAGTGGACAAGGCTCAGCAACTCAGAGCGGTTCTTTCTTGTGGAGCTAAAGGAAACTCTGTGTTGTTTCCCAAATAGGCAGTATTTACAAGGATCCAAGGCAACATCTTTTGCCATTGAAATGGACTCCTTCTTTGCAAGAGTCGTCAATCCCTTCTCGCTCATGTGGCCTAGTCTTCTATGCCACAAGTTTGGTGATGTCTCTTCTTTAACAACATTGAGACTTGGTTGAAGCAACTTTGCATGACTTTTATAAAGAGTACCATCAAGTTTTCCCCTTGCAACAACCATAACACCTTTCAACAACTTCCAGGTGCTATTTTTGAATTGATTATCATATCCTTGGATGTCAAGAGCTCCAACTGAGATAAGATTCATTCTCAGCTCTGGGACATGCCGAACATCTTTCAACACCAATGTACATCCAACATTGGTCTTTAAATGCACATCACCAATACCAGCAATGCTTGAGAAACTGGTGTTTCCCATCTTCACGGTACCATGGTCTCCGGGTTTATAAGTACTGAATAAATCCCGGTTTGGAGTCGAATGATATGATGCAGCGCTATCAATCACCCACTCATCATCATGAGTTTCAACATGTAGGCATGCTTCCTCCTCGTATGTAACAAGGGGAACGTCTTGTGTTATGGTGACCATGGTTTCACCATTCTCCCTGCTTGGATTCTGGCTTGTCTCGGGCTGCTCTGGTAAGAACCTTCGGCAATCACTCCTTTTGTGGCCATAATAATTACAATGATTGCAATAGCCTTCGAACCATGTATTTGAAGATTTACCTCGCTCTCGCGATTTCCCTCGATCTCGTGATTTCCCACGATCTTGGGATCTTCCTCTACTTTGACCATGTCTACCTCTGCCTCTACCTCGACCTCGGCCTCTAGTTCTGCCTCCGCCTCTTTCTTTGTTTTCTGACACGAGGGAAAAAGACTGGTCTGTACCAGCTTCTTTCCTTCTGGCTTCCTCGTTCATTAGGGCATCTGTGACCATCTCCAATGTCACTTTACCACCGGGGGCAGAATTGCTGAGAGTCACAACAAGCGTCTCCCAATTATCTGGTAGAGAACTCAAGAGCAATATGGCTTGTTCCTCGTCTTTGAGAACCCAATCAGCAGCACCAAGCTGGTTTAC